CACATGCACACACACACACACACACACACACACACACACACACCTGACTTCTTTTCTAAAAGCAAACAGGCTTGAAATGGCCTTTCAGAAAGAAGGCAGAGGAAGGAAGGTTTGTGTGAAGGACAGAGAATGAGCAAACTTCTTTTATAGGTTCTTGCTAAATCAGTAGCTGAGACAATAAATGCCTTTCGAATGAGGCTCACAGGACACAGGAGGAGGAGTGTTAGGGTGTGACACTCAAGGGCTCTGGTCACACCGCAGTGACACCCTTAATATACAAGAAAGCCTCATTCCAGAGCAGGCATGGTTTCCCTCTTTGTCCAAGTCCAAATGTCTGCTTCTCTGACACCACTAAAGAGGCTGACACAGAACCAGACATACAACATGGGCGGTGGGGGAGCTGGAGGGAGAGAGGCTGGCACATGACGTTAGAGTCCAGGTACTGTTTTTATTGGGGAGAATAACAACGGGGGGTCTTGTGCTGATTTATACTTTCTTTTGACGCAATCTAGCCCATGAAAAGCCAGTCAGTCTTTCACCTCAAAGAGTTATAAAAGAGGAAGCACAATGTCACCCACAGAGGCCTGAGTCTTCTATATCAATGACCTTTGTCAGGGATGTGGAGGAAATAGCTCAAAAAGGGAAACAGAGGCAGATGCTGAGTTAAGAGTCAAAGACTGTCCTGTCAGCAGGATCAGCTGGACCCCCCCCCCCATGGCTTCGCAGAAGAGCCAGCCATCTTTCACAAATGAATCTCTCAGTTCACTGTCCCACACACAAGGACTTCTTACCCCATATACCAGCTCACAGGGTAGGAGACAAATGTCCAAAGCAACAGTCAAATCCATGGTGACATGGTTTATTAAGTCTAAGGAATGATAGAGGACATGGGACAGCCCTCTTCTGTGGGTAGTATTAGAGCGGGGAGAGGAACAACACCACACTCCCATACACTAGAGTGTGACCTCACTGAGGTGTGAGAAACACTTGGGTGGGACTTCAGAGTGACAGAGGACCATTTAGCCTAGAAGACCACAGTGACAAGACTATACCCTGTCAAACCAGTACAGATGGGAGGAGATGGGTGGTCCGTTTGTGTACAGAAGTTATCCTGGGCTGTATAAGGAAACCAGGGCTCACACATTGAGAAGGGTCATTATAAACCATCCCAGAATCTGCCTCTCCAGGATTTTCAACAGACACCCTCTGCTAAATGCCTACAGCAGAGAAACACAGAGCAGAACCTCGTTTCATTGGGAGCAATGGCAAGCAGTCCCCACTTCTAGCATGGACAGCCAGGAGAAAGTAAAAGTCCTCCCCACATTTAAGAGTCACAAAACACGTGGAGAACATACACAACGTGAGTCCACCTGTGATTTTTGGAGCTCAGCTTTGGAATACTGGAAGTTCACCCCAATTCAAACTTTGCCTTTAGGGGGTGCATTTGACATCGTTACTCAAGCTGCATCTAATTAGAGGGCAAACTATGCTTCTATTTTGTGGGGAAGAGTTAGCTGAATGCTTGCTAACCTGGAGTTATAACAGTTAAATCAGCACACACACATATACAAAGCATCCCCTCTAATATGTATACTCCTTTGCCATACATAGCTGAACACTGGAGAACTAGGGAAATGAAGTAATATCTTTATTAGCTTTAAATGACGAATAAGCAAAACTGAAGCCAGTCGTGCTACCGTGCTTTTCAGAAATCTGACTTATAAGAAGCCACAGACTTATAGGATGTGGTCTAATAAACCTAAGAGCAGTTTCATTTCCTCTCTCCAACTGGTCAACTCCCTGTCTCTACGCTGGCTTCGCAGACGGAGCTGAACTGTCTCTCCCCCTTCCATTGCAGGTCACGAGGCTGAAGAATAAAGAACATCCCTAATTTGGCCCTTTCTGAAAATGCAACCTAAAAATGAAGTCAAAACAGGTTCAATGCTAGTCAGGGGTAAGTCAGCCAGAAAGAATGAAAACTGGAGAGACAGAGAGAGAGGGCCGCTTACTGGTCCCCGGCCACCGACTGGGAAAAAGCTTCTTTGAACCCCCGAAGAGGAAGGAAATGGGGAATGAGAGAAGACTTCTGACAAAGAGCTATTTGAAAGTTTGTTTGCAAGCATTTCAGAGGCAGCGATTGTGACTAAGCAGTTACGGGAAAGTCCTCTTATCTGAGGGCAGTTGTGCCGGGTCACACCCTATCACTGTGGCTCCTCACAGCCCCAGCGCAGTGCGTGTGTGTGGACAGCTTTAACATGGACACGAATAGCTAACTAGAAAGAAGTGACTCACACCCGCCCAGGTGGGTATTGACTTTCTTAGTCATATTTACTCAACCGGTCTATCTACTGAATTCCCTGGAGGAAGAGACGGCAAAAGTCAGGACCTAAGTCAAACAACAAGGAAGAGGAGAGAAGGACAATGGTTATTAATCAGAGATGATGTGGAAGATCTCCTGACTGGGACATTTACTCCAATTCCCGAGAGTGCAGGGTGGCAATAGGATCAAATGCACCCTCCTTCCGGAAAATGGAGGAAATACTGGACCATGAACAACAGCACGTCGGTCATTAGCAGGGTTTTACGGCACCAGCTCTCTAGCTGTGGGATCTTAAGCAGAAGGGGTGTGGCAGCGCTGCCTCTTCAGGCTGCTGTTGGGGTCCAAAGAGTTAATACAGTAGTACAGTCCTTTACAGTAGTTGCCTGGACAGCAGGAAGTCTGTGAGATATGGCAAAGGATCTCCTCGGTACCCAGCAGAGCAAGCCTGGCCAGGATTCCACTGCCGGGCTTTTCACACATCCAAACATTGCATCAAGGAGGAGCGAGAGCCTTGCCAACAGAGGTGACAGACTCGGGACTTACTGCTTGCTGACTGCCAATCATCTAGTTCCCTAGAGCCATTTCTAGAATGCTCACACCACAGGTCAGGATTTTCACACTCCACCAAAATTCCTGAAGTAGCGGGTACTAGCAATGTTAAGCATGATTTTCCATGCAGGACGGAAAGCATGGGAGGAAAGTGTGCAGGGCACATAGCCGAGCAGACCATCAGTGACCGGTCCATCAAAATGATGCTCAGGCAGGCATGTGGGATCCACTGTTTGTGCCTGCAATCTCACATGTACTGGCTTTTTACACTGCCTATCTATGGGAAAGAGAAACTGAGGCAGAGAGTAGTTTGGTAACTTGCTCGTTCTTGGCACCTTGGTGCCTGGCCTATTCACAATCTGTGGGTTTATCCTTCACCTGGAAACATGGTTTGTTTGGTTTTTTTTTTCTGTACTAAGGACAAACAGAAAAAATGTTCAAGGTCACTGGCGCCAGGGTTCTAATCGGCTCCTGCAAATCTTGAGCTACAAGGAAGAGAGCCAGTCTTTCTGTTTCTATTTCCTTGTATCAAAACAGGCACCTGATTCTCCTTTATCTATGTTCCGACTCTGACCAAAGGTTAATGAGCTACTTTTTGCCAGGCCCAGTGGGCTAGCCTTATCTGCCAGGCCTGGTGGGATAGCCTTATCCTTGAGAGACAGAATGAGCTGCTTTGCTTAGGAGAAGCTGACCAGGCAGGATCTGCTAAGATCACAACCACTGCAGAGTGGGGGCCTCAGCGCCCTGCCACATGGAACCAGCTGAACACACACATTCACGCACATGCACCAGGTAATCAGAGGGTGAGGACAGCCTATCACAGGCATGTCAAAGGCAAGAGAGCAGGAGAGGGTCAAAGCCCCAGAACACCTGTCTGTTCTAGCATCTCCTGGACGAAGAGTAATGGTTAGAGCACAGGAATTCCAAGGACTCAGAGGTAGGGTCTTACTAGCACATGACCCAGCAAAGGAAAACATGCCTTGCCGTGACATCAGGGGAGAGCAGAGTGCAAAACCGTGTCAGTGCGACCCCATCATCAGTGGCTAAAGAAACTCGTCAAAAAGAGACGATCGACGGGTCGTGCGGGGGTCTGGGTGACGTGCCTTCTACATGTTTCTCTACATCTCTCTGGTTCTCCTAAATGGCTGTCTACTGTTTCTTAAGAAGAACAAGGGTTTTTAACATGATTGCTTCCACTGTTTCCCTCTCTTGAGGCAAGACATATATATGCGCGTGCTCCATATCTCTCCAGGTGCCCATTCTGCCCACTAGAGAAACTTGTTTGCTCACCGGTACTGTCTAGCATATAACATTCACTCAGCACCTAGTAGGGACACAATGTTGGTTTTTAAAGGCTCCACTAATTGGCTCGTGAATATTCATGAAACCCAAAACATCATCTTCTATCTAAATCTAAGAGTTACTTTAATTTTTTTTTGAAAGTCTGCATTGATGTTTGCTTTCCTGAAGATAAAAGAATGTTCTGGAAGTTCTTTATTCTTGGGACAACTAATTTGAAGAGAGCTGTCACTCTGGAGCCCGGAGTCGTGTGGGGTATTGACATCGCATTGAATTATTTAAAGGAAATTAACAATGCTTCCTGTCCTTGGAGAGCAACATCTGTGAGCAGGCATCGGGCTATGCCTGCCTCTGCTATCCAGGGACCTTGCAGGGGGGGGGGCATTTCTCAGCACCCTGAATTTGAAAAGAAAATCTATACTATAGACAGCTAATTGCTAGTAGCAATGGCAAAGTTGAGGTGACAGTTTCCCTTCCAGCAGGAGTCATAAAGAACCCCAGGAAATGGCTTTCTAGGTTCAAGTCTGATGGAATAATGTGCATTCTTGCGTGTGACGCTGGGTCACGTGGCCTTTACGAGGCAACTGGCACCACGCATCCTCTCTAGCACCGCCTCCACCCTCTTCTTGTAAAGTGGTGATTTAGTGGCCATGACTCCTATCAGTGGTCAGCACAGCCAGGCATCATGGCACCTGAAATGAAAGGGACCCAAGGAGGATTCAGAGATGGAGGTGGATGCATGGGCCCTGCCCTCGCGGGAGGTAAACTTTGGATGGGTGGCTTCGCTTCAGGGCTGGCTCATCTCATACCGTCATTCTGCTCCGAGACCTACCTCCAGACACCAGGGCTCCCCAACCTTTTGTAAGGAGTGGCTGCTTTTCATGTCCCTGAAGACTTGCGTGCTGACAGCGAAGTCTGAGGGGGGGTAGAAGTGCTGACAGGCATGTCCCTGAGTGCAGCAAGGAAGGGGGCTCTGCTGCCAGGAAGAAAGGGGAACAGAGTGAGGCGTGGCCGGGAGAGGGCCGAGTTCCCAAGGCATACACAGCAGTCCCAGCCTGACTCGCCACCTAACCCATGTTCTCCTAGATGCCCCACAACCACATGAGCCCAGAACTTTCCATGCCTCCCTGCCATGCAGCTGGGGTCCCTGAGAGACCTCTCGAACACAGCTTCCTCATGCAGCCTTCTTGCTATGTCCTTTTTCCACCGTGCCTAGCCCTAACGCATCCATCACCTAATGTACATGGTTGCTCCTTCCTCTAAGCAACCAGCCACCTGGCTGAGCCTTCTCTCTTACCTTACCTTACTGCAGCTTCTATTTGGATACATTTTGTGGGTTTGCTGGTGTTTACACCTTGTAATCATACTATATACCTTACTGTCATACACTCTCATGTATGACTGCACTCTCCTGAGCTATTGGGGCTCCTGTCTTAACACCCCTTTGCTCCCTTAGACTACAGCCTCCTAAGAGAAGCCACAATAACACCACCTGGGACCCCTTTATGGATCAGGACCCCCATGTGTTCAGGAAGGTGTGCTGAAGCCAAGTCTACTCAGTAGGCATCCGGTCCGAAAATCTGCCTTCCCCATCCAGGCCCCTAGACAAGGTTGTGCTGACTGCTCCATTAACTCTTACAAGCAGCACACGGGCTAAGTGTGCTCTGCCTAGCTCACAGAGGAGGAAACCGACTCAGAGACGTTAAGGAGCATGCCCAAGGTCACACAGCTAGAGGCACAGTATGGACTGTGTGTAGTCTTCTCCAGCAAATGGCCACTGTGTAGATCCATAATGCTTGGTCAGAAGTTTGCTACAGCTCCATTTACAAGGTAGAAAATTTGGAGATAGAATTACGGGGTGTGAAGACGGGCTCCCTGAAAGGAACAAATGCCTTCCCAGCTGCTTCATATTTGTTGGGTGGTTGGCTAGTGCTCCTGGGGGCTGGAGCCAGGGTCTTGTATATGCTATGCATGAGCTCTGCCCTGGAGCTGTGTGCGTGGGAGGGAGGGAGGGAAGGAGGGAGGGAGGGAGGGGGGAGGGAGGGAGGGAGGAGGGAGGGAAATTATATCTTTTTATATTCATTGCAAAAGATGGACTGAGTAAACTTGTCCAGCCCAGATGACTACAGATAATTCTGGAAGACAAATCAATAAAAATAAAGACTGGGAGCCACAACCCTGGAGCAGCTTCCGGGGCTGTCACAACGCCATCTATCCATGTGCTCTGGGCTGCTTTGGGGTATTGCAACCACTCACAGGGAAACTCAGCTCCCCAGGTGACAAAGGACAATCAACTGCTGGCAGCTGGAGACCTTTCCAGGAAGAGCAGCCAAGGGCCAGCAGCAGTGTGGCTTGCTATCACGGAGCTGTCTTGGGTCCATCTGGGAAGCAGGGCCTCCACAGCGCTCACTGATAAATGGAGGGATCACAAGATGAGTAAACCCGTCCGTGAGATCGGGCCAGCTTTAGAGTGAAGGTGATAGTACCTAGCTGTGTCTACAGCCCTGACTCACATGAGTGCTGTCTTCAAGGGCAGCACAAGGAACTCTCCAGCTGTTTCTGGAAGAAGCCCAGCAATGTGAGGGCTTAATGTTTATCTCCTTACTTCTCTGGCTAACAAAGCAACGACCATGAAAAAGCAAGTCTCTCAGGGGCAAGGGGCTGGAGAAGGGAGCTCTGCAAAGAAAACACTAGAGCCATACGAAGAGCAAGGGCTGCCTTCAAGTACGTTGTCTGTCACCATCCATAGATGCTTCCTTGTCACCTATCCTCTTATAGGGTTCTCTCTCTCTCTCTCTTTCTCTCTCTCTCTCTCTCCACACACACACACACACAGCACTCTATAACCATAGATATCTTTCCTTCTATGCTTAGGAGCCAGGGAATCTCAGAGTCAAACTAGGTGGTCATAACCCCTCTCTTCAGGGAGCCAACAGCTTTGAACTCGTAGGACTCAACTGTCCCCACTTTACTAATGTCTTTAAGATATCCATTCATAATATTTTCATAGAATAGAGTGAGTTATAAACTCTTTAAAAGCTTTAGAACATGGAAGTGTTCGAAAACTCTGGGTGTCCACACGAATCTAGGGAAGGGAGGGGCTTTGCAGCAGAGGCCCATGAAGTGGGGGGTGGGGGGAGAACGATGAGTCAGCAGTTGCTGGGTTTTGTGCTTCATGGCCTTTCCTGGCTTTTCCAGCAATAAAATCTTAATTTAGGAGACACTAACCTGAGTCTACAAAGCTGTTAGCTTAGGTACAGAGCATTGCTCCCCCAGCCTGAGGCGTGGGCAGGTTTACTCAATATGTGCCCACCCTGCATACTGCAATACCTTACCCCAGGTGCCGCCTCAAAACCACATCATGGACATTAAGGGGCAAAGGTAAGATCTCTCTGGACTTGAATAAGCTTCTACACAAGGAAGAAAACTCGGAGGATGGCAGAGCAAAGGCTCCTGGGAAACATTCTGAAACATGGACACCTGGACCCAGCCCCTGAGCGGTCTCCTTCCCCTGGACTTTTTGGTTATAGATCTGCATGCTCCTTTTCTCAGGCTAGCTTGCGTTGGGGATGAAGAGAGAGAAAGAGATCAAGAGATCTGGGAGGAGAGCGCTCTGGTCATCGTATCCCGAGCTCAGGAACTGTCCATCATTAAGTGGTAAGCGAGAAGAGGAAGAGGGACACTCAGTAGGGAAGGAAGCGAAGGAAGGCCTGTGATCTCCCTGCTGCCCCAGGGTTGGGGTGACACTTAAGAATCCGTCTGTCTCCACCAGCCACACACCTGGGAGAGAGGCCCTGCTCGCCTGCTGTCCTCCAGAGCCCCCATCAAAGCCACTGCAACCCTGACCAAACTGAGAATACAGAATACGGATCCGGAAGTGGGAGTCACATATCCTTGGCAGTGGCCCTGGATTCAGGAAACACTGCTTGGATGTGAGTGGATTTCTGAAAGAGAACATTTCCAAAGAAGGAAGGTGACATTAAGGGGCTGTAGCACGCTGTAGCACGGTGGCACACTAACACGGAAGTCAGGCTGGAGTTGTCTAACACCTAACAGCATGGCGCATTAGGCAGATCGATACACAGCTGCAGGAGACACCCACAGAGTCTAGTATTTGCATATTCCGATATCATACTTCCTTGTGACCTTACTGCCGGCTTCCATAAGATGCTGGTGATAGTCAAAGTCATGTGACAGAACGGAGGTCAACAAGTTAAAATATATAAACTGCCTTACTGGGAAACGCCCACATGCTCACATACACACAGGCATGCACGTATGCACCATAAATGGGAAGTACGGAAAGAGCTGGACAATAATTTAAAAGAAAACAAGACTAAACAAAATGACAAGCTCTGAAAATGTTAAAACATTCAAAATGTTTTGCATAAAATAATATCAGAGTGAAACTGGCCACCAGCTGTTCGCTCTGGAAGAAATTGAAACAGACTGGGGGTGGGGGAGGAAGGCTTAAGCTTTACTTTTGGCTCCAGAAAGTCCCAGCTCTCATAACTGAGCCAGCCAATTCCTTATATGAAGACTCTTTTTTATATGGACAACATGTACTATATGTACCTTCTATTGGTTCTGCGTCTTTAATCAATTTTACATGTTTGTTGGACTGGCCTGTGCACAGGGTGTCCAGATATTTGTTCAAACATTATTCTTGGCTTGGGATGTGGCTCAGCGGATGCCTGACATGTTCAAGGCCCTCGGTTTAGTCCCTGACACAGGAAAGAAAGAAAATGAGGGCAGTGGTGGTGCACACCTTTAATCCCGCACTCAGGAGGAAGAGGCAGGAGGATCTCTGAGTTTGAGGTCAGCCTGGCCTATGGCTGGAGTTCCAGGACAAACAGAGGTACACAGAGAAACCCTGTTGGGGAAGGGGGGAGATAAATTTTGAAAACTTTTTCTGGGGCGGGGGGTGGATTCCTCTGGCCCAGTTGCGTTTGAGCATAAAACACAACTCCTTCCTAAGTATAGAAACACCAGGCTTCAGAAGGACATCACGCTACCTCCTTTGCCAGTCCTTGGTTCTTTGACTAAACTAGACTGCAGCCCTCAGTCCTCCTGAGTGTCCAGTGTGCCGGATCTCTCAGCCTAACTCTGTGGGCCAGTCCTTGATGGCAAATCACTTTCTATGCCCCTACACAACACTCATTTGCTTTTGTCTCTGCAGAACCCTAATATAGATGGTTGAGCTTTGAGGCCATTTTTCTCCTCCACTGCAAGTGTAGAAAGACTACCCATGAGTCTGTAAGTGGGAGCAGAACTTGATCGTGGAATGAATTTTGCAATCACTCTGCAGATCCGAAAGCCTGCCAGGTCCATATGGCTGGGATGCAGAAGTGAAAAGAAAAGAACCGGAAACCTAGACTTTACAAAACTAGTTCAGCGTTCTCAAAGGAAATGCTGTATCTTCATAGGAATAAAGAATCCATTTAACAGAGTCGCCAACAAGGACCAGTTTACAAAAACAAGTAAAGTAGTGCAAGTTAACGGGAGGAATCGTCATCTCTCTGCCATATATACACACATATGTATGCGTGCATACAAACAAGGCCAACAGAAAACAGCAGCAGCATCCAAACAAACAAACCACCCACATACGCACACATAAATATCACCTTGGAGAGACGCAGGCCTCCGCGGGTCATGCTGATCTAACTTTATAAGCACCATCAACAATTCTGACCTCAGGAGATGAGGTAACTTAAATGGGAACTAATTACATTTGAACTATGTTCTAACAACTTACAGTGGAGGCAGAGCAACTGTAATTGGCCTCCAGGCAAGCTACCATTTTTATCATTAAAAACAAGCCCAGTCTGTCCCCAAACTAAGGTATTACCATTAACATGTAAGTGCTTGCAACACTGTTCCATTAGCAATGTGCTGAAAACTCGAGCTTGTGTGAGTGGGTACACACATGTGCAGGACTGCATGCCTGGTCAGCCAGGACCGGATCATGAAGCC